AAGTGGCATTTGTTGCATGATTGTGGTTTATTGGAATCAATTCAATAAAGTGACAAAAAAAGTGATATAATCAAAGCATGATCAGGTGGCATTAGTGCATAATTATGATCCCGTTCTTGTATTATCATACACAAATTTGCTGGTTGGGGCTAACCTATTTTAGGCTAATAATGCAAGGCAGAAACAAAACTTTCCAATAAACATTTGAAAATTTTAAAGTCAGACAATCCATTATACACAAAATGTAATTCGACACAAGCAATCAATAAATTTCAAATAAACGAGCTGAAATCTGACTTATTAGAACACTACACTTCGGCATTGAAGAGTGAATATTCGACACAACATTAAGAAGAATTTATAAGCTCTAGGATTTCAAATCAATTTCCTAAAGAAATTCAGGTCACCTTACCAAGCAAAAGAATACAGTTATATTCTTCTGCCCTTACTAAAATCTCAATGGTGTCAAAATTGAAAAGACTATAGGCTTGTGCCTCCTCTTTGGATGACAATACATACCATGGAGGCCACCACCAGCACCAAAGCCTTCGCCTCCGCCTACTCTACCACCAGCACCAAAGCCTCCAGCTGAACCAGCTCCACCACCTACTCAGCAACCACCTCCGTCTGCACCTCCTCCCAATCCTCTACCTCCACCAGCACTAGCACCAAGCAAAAATATATGGTAGAGTTAGACTCCCATCAGTCAATAACCTCCCAAAAAACATCAACTTTGGGTCTATGAAGTTAGCACCAAACTCATAGTGAGCAGTGAGAATTTTAATTGATTCAGATGACTGAGAAGAAATTTCTGTAGGGCCCATCATCACGCTGTGACTCAATGAAAATTTCTGATTAAGTCAAGTTCTAGCTTTAGGGACATGAGAGCTTCGCGGTGAATCTCCTCGTAGGGAATTGGGCAATGAAGGTTCATGTAATCGACTTTCTGCGGTTCGGCCATGGCAGGTCTAGAACTTGCCACCGGTGGAGCTGCTACAGTAGTAGGCGGAGAGAAAAGTACAGCCATTTTCGATTCGAAATTTGACGGTGTGGAAGAAAAATGAAATAGTAAAAGAAGAAGAATAGTGGCTTTCCTCTTCTTGTTGAGCATCTGTGTGTTTCGGGGTTTTACTTGGGGGATTAAAGTTTAGTTTAGATTAGGACGTAATTATTACTTGATTAAAATGTTTCATTAGTTTAAAAGGTATTAATCAAAAGATTTATTTTAATAGGGTACCCAACCTAATTTTCCCTTAAAATTGTATAGAGTGCAGAATTGTCTTAATAAAATATCATTCCTTTGGTCTTAAATTCAGAAGTATTCAAAATGCATTTAACTAGAAAAATGACTTTACGAGTATTCCTACTAATTAGGGACGGAAAGAACTTTAAAGTTAAAGGGCACAATCGAACTTGTAAAGAAGTTTGGAGAAATTTTACAATCGAAAATTTACTGTTAAAAAAATCATACCCCATGTAATTTTACATCCGAAAATTTACATGAAATATGACTT